TTTCATGTCAATATCTTCTTATGTTACTAGAGGACATCGCAAACAACTGACAAAGTCCATAGGTTCTGCTGGAGGAGATGATTGGAGAGGCTTCTTCTTCCTGCTACCTCATTGCTTTGTTTTTTTTTTTTTTTTCCTCTTGGGATACTGGGGATTCCCATGACCTTGCATATTCTAGGCCAGCTCTGCCACTGAGCCACACCACAGCATTACCTCTTTGCATTTTACATAGGCTTTTCTGGGCACCATTAACCAATATGGTAGTCACCAGCCACATGAGACTAGGCATCAATTGCAATGGGGTTAGTGGGACTAAAGAAGAGAATTTTTTTGTGGGGGGGGATGTATATGTGTGCTAGGGATGGAACACAGGAACTCAGGCATGCTAGGCAAGTGCTTTACCACTGAGCTACATCTCCAGCCCAAGAAATGAAATTTTCACCCAATTTACATTCAATTAATTTTAATTTATATGATTATATGTAGTTGGCAACTACTGTGTTGGTTAGCACAGTTCTAGAGGCTGTTCTCATTATACTGATTTTTCACTAATTTATTTTTAGTTCATGTTTGTAGAACATTTTCCAAGAGTCAGGCACTATACTTATAATTTTGCATATATTCATACAATTTTCACAAATCTTGATGAGGCCCATAATATTACTTACATTTTCCAGAGCAGAAAGTTGAATCTTAGAGAGATGAAGTCAACTGCTTCAAATCACAGAAGCAGGAGATAGGATTAAAAAAAAAGTCTGTCTGGCTCTAACCTTTATTTCCTGTACAGAACAATGAGGGTGAGTAGGAATGGGGCGGGTGTGTGTGTTTATGTGTGTGTGAGTGTGTGTGTGTGTGTGTGAAAAAAATGGACTCGAGACAACTAAAATATAACCCTTGTTATAATGGGTTCTTTCATTTTATTGCTTATTGTAAACAGTTTGGCCACAGCAAATATGTTAGTTTGTAAATCACTATAATTTAAAGCTTTCACGTCACTTCCTGTTTCCCCTTGAAGTTGCATCATCTGTGAAAATAATCATTGAAGTTCAAAAGTCTATAATGTGCACAATTGTGATACTGTTACACTAAACACAAGTAGTAAAAATACTCATCTATTGTAGGAATATAGGTTTGTATCCCTTAAGGAGGGCATAAACACAGGAGAGATGGTATGGAATGAAAGGGCTTCTGTGGGCGGGACTTGTAGAACATAAGATGTAGCCAGTCAACACCTGTTGATGGCAGAGATGATGAAAATCAATTTCCAATGGTCTTTCCTCTGCATGTTTTCTTCAGGAATATACAGTGTATTTGCAATCAACATTCTCAAAATTGTGGAGACCCTGGCACATTCAGTTTCATAGCTGCAGTGTAATTGGATCTGATCACACTTGCAGAGGAAAAAATAAATTAAATCATATGTGCTGTTAACATTGTGCTAAATACTATAGTGAGTCAGGGAATCTTTCAATAGAATAGACTGGAACTCTTGAATACTGTGCATGTTCATGACTAAGAAAATCAACTGTGCCTAAAAATCAGGCAAGTTATTTAAAACAAATTTAGCTTTTAGACCTCACAAGCAGGCTATATTAGGCCAGATCAATATATTTCTAGTATAGATATTTGAATGTATATTATATAACCACTTATATTAACTACTAAGTTTCCTAACTATAAGTGCAGATACTATAATTTATACCTTAAGGAATTTCCTTTGATCATTTTATTTAGCAAAATTCTTAACAACATTTTAGGATTTCACCAAACATTGGTGATGACAGTGGATTAAGCATTTTAGGTTTAATTGTATAGTGACACAAAAGTCCTATCATCTATCCCCAAAGTTCAGTATACAATTTTAAATATATGAAAGGATCCATATAAAATATAAATGTTAAGGTCACTTCCAGCCAAATATGGCACATTTGAATTATTTATTAAGTGCTTTTACATCTAAAGGTAGGCACTTCATAAAATTTACATTTTGGTAAAAGGCAACCATGTGATGTCAATATCTTATCCTTTTTCATTTGCTATATAACTTTTTCAAGAGAATAGATAACCATAGTTTTACAAAAGAGGAATATAAATTTGTCTCAGTTACATTTAAATGGACTCCCACAGAAGGCAAACCAAATTGTATTTTTCCCTTTTCTTTTTGTTAATCTATTGTATGTTTTCATGGTTAAGTTCTGAGATTTTACTGATGTAAAATCTATAGGAATATTTGCCTTCTTATCTTTTACTTTAAAGTGAAGCTTTTATTGCCTGTAGAACTTGATACAATTTCTCTTTCATCATTGGAAAAAACCTCATAAATCCACTGACCAGTCAGATGATTTTTCAGGAGGTGGCAGCTGACATTGAAGAGTGTTTGGCTTGTATCAACTGGTTTTTAACTCTCAAAGTAAATAAGTAAGAATCAATTGTTGCTTTTATTTTTAAAACCATAGAAACTCACTTGCATTAAAAAAAATGAGCAGAACTTTTGGGTGTCCAATGGGCTTATCTACCATTTGATTTAGGTATCCTTTCTAGATTATATATTAGGTTCGTTTTGAAGTCTTCATAACAGGAAGCTTTACAAAACAGTTTTGTCAATAAGAAAGCTCTAAATGCTGTTTTTAAATAGAAGGATACCTTGGAGATATTGTGGGTTCAGTTCTAGACCACCACAATAAAATGAATAGCATAATAAAGTGAGTCACAATTGTTTGGCTTCTCAGTGACTATTAAAGTTAGGTTCATATTGTACTGAGTCTAACTGTGCAATAACATTATGTCTAAAAAATACTTTATTGCTAAAAATGATAAGGATCATCTCAGTCAGCATTGGATCATAATATTTTTGCTGGTGGAGGGTCTTTAACTCAACTTTGGTGGCTGCTGACTGATCAAAGTGGTGTTTAATAAAGGATGGGGAGGAGGTTGCAATTTCTTAAAATCAGGCAAAAGTAGAGTCTGACACATAGATTGACTTTTTCATGAAAGATTTCTCTGTAGCATATAATGTTGTTTGATAGCATTTTATCTACATTAGAACTTTTTCAAAATTACAGTATATCGTCTCAAACAATGATGCTAATTTGTCAACTAATTTTTTGTACTATTCTAAATCCCTTGTGTTTATTTCAACAATGGTCACAGCGTCTTTACCAGGAGTTGATTCTACCTCTGTAAACTATAATTTCTTTAAAAGAATTTTTTTTCTGAGTAATAGATCTCAATAGTGGGCTTAAAATATTCAGTAACCCATGTTGTAAATAGGCTTTCTTGTTCCATGAATAGAGCACAAGAACAGTATATTCAGTATAACTTTCAGGAATTTAGGATTTTTAGAATGGCAAATGAGCATTGGCTTCCATTTAGAGTTACCAGCCGTATTAGTCCCTTAAAAAAATTGAATCATCCTGTTCTTTGAAACTCTGAGGTCAGACATTGACTTCTCCATAGCTCTGAAAGTCCTGGATGGTATCTTCTTTCAATATAAGGCTGTTTCATTGACATTGAAAATATATTGTTTAAAAAACTAAAAATAAAATCTGTTTAGCCTTTTCATGAATTACCTGAGCTAGGTGTTCTAGAGAACTTGCTGCAGCTTCTTCTGTATAGGCACTTGCTTCGCTTGTGCTGTCTTGTTATGGAGATGGTTTCTTTCCTTAAACCTCATGTACTGAGCTCTGCTAACTTCCAACTATTCTTCTGCAGCTCGCTCAACTCTCTTGGCCTTTATCAAATTGATGAGAGGATTAGGCTTTGGCTTAAAAAAAATGTTGTGGCTGGTTTGATCTTCTATCCAGAAAGTTTTACCCACTAAAACGTCCTCCATACCAGCAATAAGGCTACTTCTCTTTTTTATCTTCACTGGAGTAACACTTTCAATTTCCTTCAAGATTTTTTTTTTTTTTTTTATATTCACAACTTGGTTTACTACTGCAAGAGGCTGAGCTTTCAGCTGTCTCTGCATTCTACATGCCTCTCATTGAGCTTGGTTATTTCTAGTGCATGATTTAAAAGCAGAGATCTGTGACTTCTCCTTTCAGTTAAACACATAGGGTTATTAATTGACATAATTTCAACTTTTTTTTTTTATATCTTAGGGAATAGGAAGTCCCAACGCGGACAGTCAGTTGGTAGTGCAGTTGGAACATTACAATATTTACCCTTTGTTAAGCTCCTTGCCCTACTTGGGCACAGTTTGTAGCGTATCAAAACAACTGCTATAGTAACATCAAAGATGACTGATCACAGATCACCATAACAGATACAATGATCATGAAAAAGGTTTGAGATATTGTAATATCTCAAAATGTGAGACAGAGACAAGAAGTGACTGTATACTACTGGAAAAATGGTGCTGATGACCTTACTCAATGCAGGCTTGCCATAAACCCCCATTCTGTAAAAAATGCATTTTTTTTGTGAAGCACAGTAAAGAAAAGTGCAATAAAATGAGGTATGCCTGTACTAAAAACCAAAGTCCCCTCGGGTAACTTCCATCCAGTGCCTCAAACAGTGCCAGGCACATATTAGGCCTCAGACACTCAATATACATATATTAATAAAAGAAAGAGGAGCAATTCTGGTTCTGACTTTAAAGCTACATAGAATAAAGCTGTTGGCTTATGTAGTCTGGGCCATTCTCCTGTGCTACTGCAGTCTTCTCTTTTACAGGATCAATACTGAAACTTCCTTCATCTAGTCTTTAAACATCAGTTATGAGAAGTTTTCTCAATCCTCATTCCTCTTCTTTGAATGTGCTTAAGTGGATCAGATCCCTTAAAACGTGATTCTGAAGAACCATGCAAAATAATCCACATGGGTATCAGCTCTGATCAGGGTGGGAACCCTGTGCCTCTTAGCACAGAGGGTCCACCAGAAATAGTATCTGACCCATAAAAGTATTCCTTAGAGCAATCCTCTCCTGTTTGTTTAGTAGAGGCATTTTAATCTAGGTAAGATCATTGATTGACACATATTCTGTTCCAGGAGAAACATTATTTCCGTGAATGTCCAGGATAAGGAGGGGGTGGAGAATGCTGTGCTGAGGCCTGTGGAGTTGGGGAGTATGGAGGAGGCATGTCTGCACAGTATTCCATCTCGTGGTCGTAACCATAGGGGGGTGGTGGCACTGAAAAAGAAAAGGAAGAGACCATCAGGCATTTGGAGAGTATTCAAGAGTCGTACTTGGACCACTGGACTGGATACTTTGATAGGGAGCATAATTTTTGTCTGAAAAAGATTTTTTTTTTTCAGGTCAAAAATACGTACTGTGAAAGGATAAGTGTTGTGAAATGTGGCAAATGGATGGAGGTGTTTAGAATTGGAGGCATAGGGAGAGATCCTGGGAAGTATGATGCTGAGGAGCAAAGAGAGAAAAAGATGAGGAACAATTCAAGTTTTACCCAAAGCAAAGAAGCAGGAGACAGCACTGTTGTTTAAGCAAGATGCCTGTGGAGGGGAAATAGGGAAAGACATTGTGGAGTGTGGCTACATTATCATGGCAGGCTCCGAGTGTCTTTATGGTGTGCACTGCAGAGTTATCAGAGATGTTTTTTAGTATATTAGTGAATATGCTTTGGGAAAAGGATTCCTTTTTAAGGGGGGTAGGGGTACCAGGGATTGAACTCAGGGACATTCAACCACGGAGCCACGTCTCCAGTCCTAGTTATTGTATTTTCTTTTAGAGACAAGGGTCTCACTGAGTTGCTTAGTGCCTTGCTTTTGCTGTGGCTGGCTTTGAACTTGTAATACTCTTGCCTCTGTCTCTGAAGCGGCTGGGATTATAGGCATGCACCACTGTGCCTGGCAGGAAGACGATGCTTTAAGCAGCACGGACACAGGAAAACTGAAGAAAAGGTGAACTGATTTAGGAGCATACCTAAGAGATGTTTTAGTCAGCTTTTTCCACTGCTGTGACTAAAAGACCCAAGCAAAACAACTGTAGAGGAGGAAAAGTTTATTTGAGGGCTCATAGTTTCAGAGGTTTCAGTCCATAGACATCAGACTGTGTTCTTCAGGGCTCAAGGTGATGTTCTTTAGAACATCATGGCGAAAGAGGGAAGCAATTCACATCATGATCAGGAAGTTGAGAGAGACTCCACTTGCCAGATACAAAAACATACCCCCAAAGCACGCTCCCAATGACCCACTTCCTCCAGCCGCACCCTACCCACCTTCAGCTACCACTCAGTTAATCTCTACAAGGGGATTAATTCATCCATTGGGTTAAGTTCTCTTCTAAACCTTCTTGCATTGTCCCACACATGAGCTCTTGGGGGACCCCTCACAGTCAAACAATAATAAGGGATTCATGATAATGAGGAGAAAACATTCATATATGCCCTGATGAGCCAAGCATTTTGAGTACTTAGGTGATTAGGGGATGCCTGGGTATGTGGAAAAAGGGATGACAGTGAGAAAGAAGATGAAAAAGTACGATTGGTCCATTGATCTATCAATCTATCTACTCTATGTGACAAGCAGGTTTCGGAATGATGAATTTAATTTTCTAAATATTTGAAAAAAATGTCTTGAATTTATTTATATGTGTGTTTTAAAATCACACTTAAAACACTTTATGATGACTACGTATGGATGTCTATTTTATAGTGATCTCAATCCTGTCTCCAAGATCAGAAGAGAGACTCCCATTTAAGCTGAATTTCATCCAGCTCTTTGAGGAATTAATCACTCTGCACCAGCTGAGCAACCCCTCAGCAGCCATTCTGAAGGTATGGCAGAAGCTGAATCATCCTCAGGATCCTGGCTGTGTTTGGAAATCAACATGCCTTAATTGGTTACTGTGAATGCAGCCTCAGTCTCAAGATCTGTGTCATGATAATGCAAATGAATGGCTAAGCCTTAAACATTAGAGTGAAACTATCTATATAAATATATTTCTAAGTGTCTTCTAAATTGTGCTCCTTCTACTAAGAACTTAGCCATGTTCTGCTAAACAGGGATAGACAAACATGGGGCCTCAACTGCTAGGCTCCTGCCAGTATGTTTCCTTTTGGATTGCTCTGGCTTGCCTCTTTGTCAAGTGCTTGATCATGGAACCATTTACAGACCTCCTTAGAGTTGGAGGATATGATGATGCGGGACTGAGTCACCTACAGAAAGGGGAAGAAGGAGCCAGAGAACTAAGTGAGATGTTCCTGAGGGCGGTTGCTAAGTCCCTGGTGGACACTGAGCAGGCTGAGGGCTTTCAGCAGAGGATGCAGTTCTGGAAAAAAATCGATGAGGGCGTTTTCAGTCTCTAACACTCCTTCAACCTGCGCTACTCTAAGCTGTGTTTTCTACAACACTGTGGAATAGCCGCACACTTTCCCTCTGAACTTTACAACTTGTTGGCTGCATTAAGTCTTAAGAGGACTTAGATAAAAAAGGTTTATGAAAAACTTTATCCAAATCAAAGAAGGGAACACTACAGCCTTCATGTAAAGTCCAATTTGACCCCCATTCCACAGCTTTCTGTGACAGTAAAACTATACATTGAGGATTTTCCCCTTCCTGCTTAAGAACATACTCTGACTTATCCTGCCAATTGACTCTATACCAGTCCATGTCTTGGACTCCTGGTGTGTGTTGCTGTATCCATAACAAAGTGTCTGCACTGGGCCATCTGCATAAAAACTGCTGGATGATGTTTCAGTGAGATATCCTTAGTGTTTCCACAGCTGCATGTTGAACATGAACATCTCAGGTATGAAACAGTGTTATTTTATACATATAACCTCAGAATTTTGATAAAGCAATAACATAATATTGAAAGTTAGTATTTTAAGGATGATTCATCATGAAATTAACATGGTGCATTTTTATCATAACTGTTGCTAGAAAATATTATCCAATGATACTTGTATACTGGTGGACTTTGTTATCTTTCTTACTGATAATAAGTTCTACTAGGAAATAAACTTTTCAAGGTATTAATCAATTATAGACTTCTTGATTAACACTCAGAGGTTTTGTTCTTTTTTATACCTGAAATAATCTTTGAAAAAATGTGCGGATGCAGTGGAGAGCCTTTGAAACTCTTTCATAACCAATATATAATTCTTTGCTATAAGTTGGGTAACTTACGCCATGTCAGATGTAGTTGTCTATAACATAAAAAAATAATGGAGGAACACTATAATATTCAGAGGAGGAATTTAGTATGTTCACCCACTCAGACCACTATTTTTATTTTTTATTTTATTTTTATTTTTTATTTTCTTTAAATTTTTTATTGTTGGTTGTTCAAAACATTACATAGTTCTTGATATATCATATTTCACACTTTGATTCAAGTGGGTTATGA